ACTGAGTTTGATGTTTCTAAAGCATCTTCCATCAGTGTCAGCGACAGCACCGAATCTCTTGTGGATGAAGTAAGTGGAAAAGTTTCAGACAAATATCATACATTGATAAATGTTCTGGATAAAATGTCTTTTCGAGAGGAAATGTGTTTGAAAAGCAGAACTTATGTAACTAGAGTAGGACGTATGAAAAGGAAGACTAAGTGATTAAAATACAGATATAACTAGTTAAATTGTTTATCTAAACTAATAGTATCGTCCTATTTGATATTTAAGCTTATCGGTTTTCCTGGGCACTTTCAAATGAAAAAGAGTTCTTCAGAAATTAAACAATACATATAATAGATAATGTTAACGAATTTCAAAAATGGTGAATACAGTCTTTTAAATTAAATATTAATACCATCTGTGCGCAACTAACTCTCCATTTGTATGGGCAATTAATTTTTTTTAAAAGCAGAAAACATGAAAATTGAACTATAGAGATTTGATCGACTCAACATTTAGACGTGTAACCACTTGCATCATACCACCACACACGCCGAAATGCAATAATTCCTTTTACTCTTCCCCACCTGAAAACGAATGAGAATGGGAGACTATAAATGTTCCTGGTGTATATTTGTACAGCCATGTATAATGTATATTTGTATAACTTTACACAGCTTCAACTCTATGCAATGTTTAAAGGCTGTGCAAAATCTTTTAAATTAAGATTTACAAATTTGGTTTAAACTACCAGTCCACCTCTATATGTAGGAATTGGCAATCAATAGATATATTCTGTGGAGTGGTTAATAATCCTATTTAGTTCAGACTCATAGCCAAAAGCTTTCCTCATAATGCACTAATATTACTTCTACCACCATGTCAATAACTGTGTCCAATTTCACTTATATATATTCCTTTGCCAAACAATAAAAGTAAACAGCTGTAGTAAATGATACACTGCTTTTCCAACTCACATTTTAACACTACGCTTGCAATTTTAAACACTGCCTTTCCATAAATTTTGGTTTTTTAAGAAGTACAGCTTTAAAGAATGTGAATTTTTGCTTTCTCTCTTGTTGGGCAAAATACCACATTCCATAATCTTATAACAATTCATTATGACAAAAAGAAATGTAACCAATGCGAAAGGAAATACTAATCAGATAAATTAAAATTAGATTTCAAAAGTGCCCATCCACCTATACTCGAATACACATGTGCTACACACATACATACATGTGCAACATAAATATTTTTGGGGAATATGATGCTTGCCTCATCACTCTAGCCTTTTCTTCAGTGGGTGTGTGGATGATTAAAATGCACCTTCAAATAAACTGGTAACAAAGAAAGTGCCTGAACTAATTTTAACAAACTAAGGCTGTCAGTAAATACTTTAAATGTGCAACAGAATAAAGTGAGTTATTATTGTTAATATGATACATATATTTATTAAATAAATCTTTATAATTTATTCAAATTACAATATTTTACCAAAATTTACAAAATTATAATATTTATTTTTTTTTATGTATATTTTGATAACACTTTTTGGTGTAACACTTAAAAATTTTTTAAGGCAGAAATTAACATGAATATTTAAATTGTTTATAATCTACCTATTTATTTTATTTTTCATTTAATGAAAAAAATTACACTTACTTGCTTATACTAATATTAAGGTCTATTCCATCGTATACTGATTCCGCTTGGCACCTCTCATTTATGGAACTATGAACAACATGTTTATAATGTTCAGCAGCTGAACGTAATTTCATTAAAGACCGTTTATTTTCTTTTATATCTACTTTATATTGCCTGAAAGATACACATTTTAAATTATTTAACAAAATAATAAAATTTTATTAAAACGCTGATGAGAAAATTTACAATGACTGAAGTTGCATTTATGATAGGTACACATGTTAAAAAATAAATAAAGGATACTGAAATAATAAAATTACCTTTGAAATTCACTAGAGCAGAAATTGACAATAGCATCAGTTATATGATGACCTCCAAAATTCTTTTTTTGCACTGTTGAGAGGACAGTGTACATGCCATTTGAAACTTGAAGAACTGTTACATCTAAGGATGTTCCACCCATGCGAAATACTAAACATTTACTGAAATTCAAAATATACAATTGTTACAAAGTAAAATGATCTACAAAAGATTTAACAAGTTTAATCTTTTAAAAAGAATTTGTTACAGATTACATTTGATCAATTAAAAAAATAATATAAAAACATAAGCAAAACAAATCCATTTTATTTCATTAAAATGTTCAAATTAAACACCTTTTCAGAAATACATTAACTTTTTGCCAAAATTATAAGCAAGTCTAAAGACATATTGAAAAGCTACAATGAAATTAATACAATAATATCCTGATACCCAGACACCTTTCAGCAAAGGGCTGTGTAGATTACAGGATTTTGAAAATTAGTGGGCATTTTTTTTTTTTTTTTTTTTTTTTTTTTTTTTTTTTGTTTTTGTTTCTTGGCAAATTCTTAAGTGCAAAATTATTGAAAAAAAAAAAAATCAAAGGAACAAAAATCATGCTTAGATGAAAAACGTGGTTGTGCTTGTGATGGTTATGAAGACAGTTATCATCAGGACATTAGACAAACTAAACTAGCAAAACCTGGCAACAAAGAAATACGCCAAATAAAAAAATCTGCAGAGTAGCATGCCTTTAATGCAAAAGTGCTCAAATTAAAGGCAGTACAAGAAATAAGACAAATTTAATGGAAGAAAAAGGCATAAATAAGGCAAATATTTCAAAGAAATAAAGAGCTGCATCAAAATATTTTATGTTTTAAAAAATGGTATAGCTACTAGCAAGATTATTTTAATGTAATTTTTATGAATTTAACACATTAATGTTGAGCTCTTTGTGTCGGTGCGTTATGACAGGAATGGGCGTCCTCACGAATTTTGTCGTTACGTAAAATCACTATAAATTGAAAACTACTTTGAATATTTTTACGAAACTCATTTCTCAACTTATGTATTCTTCATTGTATTCTTCATTGTTATTCAATGTATTCTTCATTGTTATTATGAAAGATAGGCACTTTTTGTATAAATAATAAAGAATATACAGTTGAAAGTACAAAAAAAAAAATTATAATTTTCGTCAATATTATTTATTATCAAAATTTTTCAATAAACAAATAACTTAATAAATAATGAACACTAATAATGTTTTATAGTGTGATAGCGGTCAAAACATTTATCCCTATGAAGAGGTATGTCACCAAATTTCCACATAAAACAAGTTTGACTTCGCACTTTTTGAGATGCACACATGAGACATTGTTCTTTGCGCAAATTTTTTCTTTCCAGTTCCAACAATTTTTTCTAGAATGTGTTTTTTCATATCCATCAACAATCTTCCTGGTTGATCTTGTTTAGGCACCCTTTTCCTGAAAGTGGATAATCCTGGCTCTTGATTGTTATCTTCAGTTCATACCGAATCAGTAACCCAATGCAAAGCTACTTCATATAAAAATTTCCTATATTTTACTTTTGCCTTTTGTTGAATTATAGACAATGAAGGAATTGAACAATGCACAATTTATCATGTATATTGTTATTCGTTTTGTCCATTTAATCGCCTTTCGTAGTATTGAATAGTAAGACAAATACTGATCTGCACGGTCTACACCTTTCATAAATTGTTATAATCAATCAATGCATTTGGTTTAGTTATTTTTTGGCGTGTCGTTCTGTCAATATTGTGACTCTCTTTCATTTCCGCTGAATGTATAGATGAAATAAAGCCCACTTTTTTCTTTGACTGTCAGATTTGAAGTAAAATATTGAACGTTTATCAGATTTACATTTCATAGTTCATGTGAAATTTCAAAAATAACACATTCATTTTTGTAATTTCTTCCTTTTCTTTTATGCAAGTTTTTATGTATTGTAGTTAAAGTGGAATTTGAGACGGTGTATTTTCAATAGGTTTAGCTAATTTCTTCCAAGGTAGAGAATATCAGTTGGCAAAAATTGACTTTTTTTACTTATTTAACAATGCAGGCGGCCCAACTTTAATACATTCTACTTTTGCACAATTTGCTATTTCACACATTTTTAAAAATTCAGTTTTTAAAACATTTTTGCTATTATTGCAAAAATTATGATTTAAAACTGAAGCAAATGTTAATTTACCAAGCAGAAAATCCCAAAACACTGAAAGGGAAAGATAAAGAATTTCTTCCAGTCATTAGGAAATCAAATAAAAAGCCTGGGTAACTGAATTAATATTTAAAGATTAGTTTACTTTTTCATTTCATGACAGTAGTTAAGGAATATTGTAAAGATAAAAATTTACAGTTTAAAACATTATTAATCTTAAACCATGCTCCAGGACACACAAAATCTTTACAGAATTTATACCTGGAAATGAATGTGTTTCTTCCTCCCAATGCTACAAGCCTCATACAGACGATGGATCAAACAGTGATAGCTATATTACATGAGGATAAAAATAAATCAGTCCATAAAGGCAGCTCTCAAGGAAGGTGGTATAAATTCTGAAGAAACTTTGGAAATTATTACAGATGAAATAGCCTAATGAATGAACTAAACTTGAGCGTCAACAACGAAGATTTTAATGAGTTCACTGAATTTCACTTAGTGCCTCTATCAAATGAAATCTTAATTGAGCAACAAGAGTTAAATTAAACATACACAGAAAGAGAAAGAAGCTGATAAATCATCAACACTTTAAAAATAAAAAATATGAGTGAAGCCTTCATGCATTTTGATGAATATTTGACTATCATGCAAGTATGCAACCCCAACGGAGAATGTATACCTCAAGGACGGAGGACGATTGAGAAAGATACAGCATGTTGTAGAAGTAAAGAAAGGATGAAAATAAAAAAATAGTGTATTCAGTCAACCCTTGACAAATTCATAAAGAAAACACCTGAAAATGCTCAGACACATCTCATTTACTTAATTTTACAAACTGTTATAAAAATAACATTATTGATAAATAAATATTTGAAAAATAATTTTTAAACAGTTTTTAATTTTTTTTTAAATTTATATTTTCCTAAACCTTTTTTTCTACACTGGACATTCAACATTTGCACCCAGTTTCAGGGACCAATTAAATGCAAAAGTCAAGGCTGCCTGTATTATATTTTATTTATAGGTCACATTGCTGTATTACTAACCAATTTACATATTTTCATTATATGCACATTTAGCTTCATTTATTGCCAACAATAACTTTCTTTGGTAATAGATTTATATACATATACAGATGTTTGTTTTTGCACTTGCTATGACATCTGCTTTCCTGTCTACAAGCTTGGGTGGATTTTAAAACTGAATTCTGTTCCTGACATGATAAAAATTGAAAATTAACATACTTATTCAGATACAGAAAACAAAATTAAATAGATTATTAAAAAACTGAATTCACATTATTAACAGTGTAACATGTAAGTCAATAAGAATTTTACCACACTTTTCACCAGATTTTTTAGGGAAAATTATTTAATTACTTTGCATTTTATTGCAAGAAAAATATACCATTTATTTTTAAATATATCACACTGTTATTAGTGAATTTATTCTCTTTAGTACCACTACAAGTGTATTATTGTTCATTTCTTCCAGTTTACAACCCTGCTTCCTGGTGCACCGCCTGTTCATTTTTGTTTATACTATTCTCGTATTTCAATAGACAGTGATAAGGATTTCTTTGTATGGATAATTTAACAATGTTTAATCATATGAGATTGTGTACAACTAAATTATGTATTGTTGTGAGCAAATAAAGCTCCCAAATATTGTAATGCTATCACCTACTATTACAGGTGTTAGCCTACATAGTCTTCTTTTCCTTTCTGCCCTTTTTATGCTAATGACTTGAGACAGGTAATTTTTGCATTACTCAGCACTAAACAAATTGAACTTTTATTTTAGACAGGGCTCAATTAATCTGCTCTTGAATAATTGTCAGTTGACTGCATTTTTGATAATTTATCCCTATTCTCTAATGCTATAAAATAACACTGGGAAAACAGCATTACAAGTTTTAAGTATTAGTACAAGAACAGAGATCATATTTACAAATGTAATTGACACAATGCTCTGATTTCAAATAAGTTGCAGAAAAACCTGCTTAAAGCTTTAAGAAAGGATACCTTTCATTTCTGAATTTAAAAATAAATAAATGAATAAACACTTATTGGCCAAAGAAAAATGCAGGTTCTTTTATGCATTTTTGTTTCAAAATTTTGTAATTTTCTATAGTGAGCATTCCTATATACAAGCACATTTTTTCCATATTTTAATATTATGACTGGAAATGGTTTACTTGATTATAATTAAGCTTACTATGCATATCTGTATGTTGGGGAAAGGATATCTTTAAAAAATAATTTAAGGGAAATTTGTGTGTTTATATGACACATGAAGAAAATTGTGAAAATCTTATGCAGCCAATTTATTCAATAGTTATCACCAATTTTTGATGCTTTATAGCTACTAAGCCACCTATAAATTATATAAAGAAGAAAGATTTGAGTTTTTATTCCAAAACTTATTTGCACATTTAGTATCAGCCATTCAATTTTGCTAATTTTAATATCAGCCATTCAATATATAATTCTTATTTTATTACATTGTAATAAAAATGCAATTAATGTTACAATATTTTAATGCTTTTTAAGTTAGGTACCTTTCCAATATGTTTATTAAAGCTCTCTTAAAAGAGATCATCTTTGATAATAAAAAGCTGTACCTGTTGGAATCATTTGACTCTTGACCAATACCATATGCTAGAGCAGCTGCAGCTGGTTCATTGATAATTCTTAAAAGCTGAAATCCTGCATCAGTAGCAGCCTTCCTACATTAAAAAAGAAACAATAATGACAACACTATTTAAATGGCTTAAATATATATACTTTACACATGGAGATTAATAACTTATATTTTTCTGAAAATACAAACAATATTTCTATCATCTTCCCTTGGAAATCAGTGTATACTTTCTTGGGCTGCAAAATTTATTGCTCAGATCTACCTATTAATGCTCATAAAATATAGCTTTTATATCTGCACAAATCATTCACACTTTCTTCAAATAATTCACCTATATTACAGCAAACATTATAAAAACCATGAAATAATTTTAAAGCACATCAGTGTGAGTATCACAGAATGAAATGGCAAAATTTACATATTAAGTACAGTACAAAATCTGAGATCCGGACATCCAGCATCCAGAATGATCTAAAATCCGGACCACCAACAATTTATTATTATTATTATTTTATGATTTTTTTAATGCTTTATACATGGTCACTTGAATTTTTTTTTTTTTTCCCTGTAAGAAAACGTGGAGAATCCTGATTCTTAATTTCACTTCAGCACTAAATAAAACACCTCTTGTTTAAAGAACAAATCATTTTGTGTGATTAATAATTTGGTTCTGTAGCTGTATATCTGCTTGGCATACATCTCAAACTGAAACATTCCACACAGAAACATCATTGATTTCACAGCTACTAATATTTTATATCCTTGACACCAACCTGGCAAATCATTACATTTTGCTTTCATCACCATATGTTTATCACACATGGCAACTTGAGTAATGACTTATGATGTGATGCCAAAACACTTTTTTTATATTAGTAATTGAATAACAACGAATATGGAAACCTTTTATGTTGACATTATGCTTGGGGTTGATTACAGATTTAAGTTAAATGCGCTAAATGTTGACGAGGAAAAATTTAACAAAAATTTCTTTCCATAGGCTAAAAATAGATTTTGCTAATGATACTCACAGGCCAAAAGATTACATTTAGTGCTATTTGAGAATTAAGAATAACTGACTTTTTATTCACATAAATTCAGAACCAGCACCAGAGCTTGTGTGGTTGCACCGAGCGGCAGAATTTAGGGAAGACAAAATTTTTGGAATTTAGAGAAGCACCTAGTAGCAAAATTAAGGGATGGTAAAATTTTCAGAACTTAGGGAAAGCAATGGGACCCAAAATTAAGGGAGGCAAAAATTTAAAACTTAGGAAAGTGCTTGGTAGCAGAATTTAGGACCCAACTGCATGAGGCAGCAAAATACCTAGTGGCGGCCCTCAGTAAGCTTGTGGGAATTTATTTATTCAGGACTCGGATAAGCCTTTAGCACGTGCAAGAATTGGACATAAGTATAATAAATAATTAAATTAATACAATCTAGGCTTAAATTGTCTCAGTGCACAATAGAAGCAAGATAAAATTTGTCTTTTGTCAAAACATTTTGTCTTTCGTCGCCAATCTTATGCTACATAGCCAATAATGTATAGTGGATGCTGTTAAGCTAGGCTAAAATTATACTTTACTGATTCCAAGGAATTTCAGTAAATATAGCAGATTGCACTGTTCCTTAACTTTCTGTTTTGATCCAGCTTGTTATTTTTTGCAGGCTGTTATAATTACAGCAATTTTATGAAAACTAAAGTTTGAACTTTGAATTATGTCAAAAAGGGTTGTAATTCTGGAGCTGCAACAAGATCTACAAAGCAAATGCATGTTTCAATGCAAATTAAACAAAAAGTGGAATTGCTGCAAAATATGGATATAGGTATTTCCATCTCAAAATTATGTGAGGAGTAAAGCACTGGAAAGTCAACTGTATATGACATAACAGAAAAAGGAACTTTATGAATTTTTTGTGGTTTCCAATACCCTATCCACAATGAATAACAGAAAATAAAGTGAAAGTCATGACAAAGTGATTATTAAATGCTTAGACAGAGGTGCAGCAAGGGCGTGCCACTGACGTATCCAATTGCTAATGGCTGAAGCCAAATTATTTCATGAAGAAATGAACTTAAAAACTGAGTGCACATATTCGACAGATGGGTTAACCAAATTTTAAAATCAAAATGGTATAATGTAATTAAAAATTTCAGGTGAAAATGCTTCAGCTGATATTGAAACTGCTGAATTATTTGCAGATGAAGTCATTGAACTCATTAACAGTGAAATCGTATCTCCAGGACAGATTTACAAAGCTGATGAAACTAGTCTTTTCTGGCAATATGCACCACAAAATACCTTGGCAACCTCTACAGAAAAAGGCTCCAACTGGTGTCAAAGATTTCAAAGATGAATAACAATTTTAGAATGTGCAAATGCCGCAGGAGCACACAAATGCAAACTTTTCGTAATCAGAAAAAATGCATGACCTCCAGCATTTCAGGAGTAAACATTTTCCCATAATATATCATGCAAATAAAAGAGCATGGATGGCACAACCATAAATGTATGATTGGTTTGAAAATCATTACATACCCGAGATTTGGCAAACTTTGAATAGAGTTGGTTTACCCGATGATGCAGAAATTGTCTTGATTGTAAATAACTGCGCGACTCACATTTCACTTAAAGTTGTAATGAAAGATAATGTATCCATGTTATTCTTTCCTCCAAACTCTACGTCCATCATTCAGCCTATGGATATTGGAATACTGCGCATGCTGATGTGTAAATATAAAATAGTATTTTGAGAAGACCATGTTAAATTTCTTGATTTAAGTTAAATGTGCTAAATGTTGACAAGGAAAAATTTAACAAAAAGAATTTTAAAAACATTTTAGAATAAAATCTGCTGTGTGGAGCATCGCAAGATCATGGGAGGATGTGTCTCCAGATACTCTTAAAAATGCTTGGCATAATTTATGGCCAGCTACACTATTTCATGGTTAGGATGATGAAGATGATAGCTGCAAATCTGAAGGTTCTCAGATATCACAAAAAAAAAAAAAAAAAAAAAAAAAAAAAAAAAATGAAATTTTCTAATTAATGCATTTTGCAAAGAAATGTGAAGAAGGGGTAATAAATGAAGATGAAGAACACAAGTTTTTCACTGTGATGACAATTCTACAATTACGAATCAATAAACGGATGGTGTTTAATAGTGACTGGGAGTTGCTGATAGGCAGCGCTACTACCTCGAAATACGTAATCTTTATTGAGTATTCTTTCATTCTGTGTAATTGCTGCAACAGATCTTACAGATATCAGGTTTATTTTGATTATCAGTAGATGGAGTTAGGGTTCTGAGTAAACATGACCTGCCTTATTAGCTACTTGCAGACTCTCCACTCCACTTCCTCTTATTTTTGTTTTATTTCAGAAGTAAATTGGAGAGCAGAAATTCAGTTTCATTTAAATGATTCCATTCTTTTATTATCACCATATTTAATTCTGCTTGATTCAATTTATACTGAACCACAATAAATGCAAATGAATGCAAACATTACGCAAATATTTAGCATTTTCTATTTTAAACTATTTGATGTTGATCATCTGCATTAACATGACATGTGGAAAAAAGAAAACCAGTCAAACATCTCTCCTAGGAATTTCACTTTGAGAGAACTGGAATTCGTGAACTTATAAAGTGAAGCCCAGGCTCAGCATGGATGCTTTCTGAAAATGAGTATGCGAATTGTCTTCTGTTTCAAAAACACAAATTAATTTTCCTTTAATTATGTCTAGATCCTATTAAGAGCGATCTGTCATTGCCTTTCTACATATCTCATGTCCGCACCTTGACAACTGACTTGGAGGTCATCAATGTACAATGAGCCTGAAATGGTAGGAAAAAGTTCCTCTAAGACATGGATTAATTTTAGGCTGAATACAGTAACAAATAAAATGCAGCCTTGAGCCACATCCTCTTCTTGTTCAAAGTTATCAGAAAAAAATAGAGCCAATTCTAACTTGAAAAGTTATAACCTTAAAACAATTTTTAATCACCAGATTACTGTGTACGCCACCAGCATGAAGATCATGCAAAATACCATATCTCCAGCATGAAGATCATGCATATACCAAAATACCATGTCTTATCTTGTTCATGAAAACAGAATTTTCAATGTTCATGAAAGCAGAGGCTAGAAATTTTCTTTTGACAAAGGTTTTAAGAATATAAGTTTCCAAAAGGAGTAGATTATCGATTGTCATTCTTCCTGTGCAGAAATTCCTCCAATATGGTGAAATTAGATTGTTTTTTTCCCCAGGCAATAGACAAAGGGACAGTTTACCATTTTTTTTTTTCAAACAGCTTGCAGATACAGCTGGCAAGTGCAATAGAACAATAGAAGGATGGTTTGGATCTTCTCCCAGCTTAGCTACTGGAATGACAACAGCTTTCCTCCATGCATAGGTAAAGGTATAATTACGGGCGCAGCCCCCAGCCCACCTAACCAAGACATGCTTGGTCATATGACTCTACATGGGAGCTAGCCCATCCAACAACAAACGACGAGCCAGCGATCCAGTCGTGCTCAAAACACTCAACAAGAGAACAAAAAACAAAAGAGTATACTACAAGCCCCGGAAAACCAAAACATCAGGAACCGAGTAACAAAAAAAAATTAGTAAAAGGAAAACGAAACAAAATAATAAGATACGACCAGGGAAATTCACTTTATCCCTGGACCTAATACATTCATACAAACGAACAGAAACAAATAATAATAACTGTTAAAAACAAAAAAATAAGACGACATAAAAACATATAAACACATATACATACATCATTCACACAAAAATGATTATGGCTTCTTTAGACGAATTTAGAATCCTCATAATCTCTCTAGAATATTCTTCAAGGTTCTTATAATTTTTCTTAAAATCACTGTGAAATTGTTTTCTATATTTAACCCTTGTGCTCCCAGTAATACTACAGTCCTCAAAAAAATGTTTCGAGTCTCCCAGAGCGTTACATAATTTGCATTTATCATTATCCTGTAATCCGAATCTCTTTAAATATGCTGGGAAGCGACCATGTCCTGTTAGGATCTGATTAACATCTATATCTATATACATTTT